TCGGTTCGGTTCAATTTTTGATAAAAAACTGAACCGAACCGAACCGAATACACCCCTAGGAAAGTCATTGGAAGTGAGATTTTGTGGAAATTTTGACCTCAACCATATACTTTTTAATTATTTTTCTTAATCTCACATAAGTTGGAGGGAATTTGTAAAGTAATATTTTTTTTATTAGTTTTAAGAGATTATATGTTTGAAATTTTTTAATTATTTGACAATGAAAATTTAAATAATCATGTTAATATATTATTCGAACTCAATATCTCTAAAAGTAATTATTTTTTTAACTATAAAAATTATTTGATTCGTGCATATAAAATAATATTTAATGTTAAAAGAGAGAGTTATTTGAATTGTTTAATGCTCTGAGCGTTACATAAGATTTACATCTCCGTTCCCTATGAGAGTGAATGAGTTGTGAGATTCATGGGGGACCGTGCTCATAATAAGGGGACTGCTGATACCAATAATAATAATAATAATAATAATAATAATAAAAGAATGAAGAAAAAAAGCTGCCGACGGAGTTTTGAGGGTATGGAGCTTCACTCTCTTTGCTCTTTCACAGCCCCATTGTCTTTTTTTCGTTTGTGGTCACAGTACAAACACAATACACATTGCCAATGTCACCATGAAATCATAAAAACTTAAAGATATAACCCACCACCACCAACCTGGCCAATGCCACCATGAAATCACAAGGTTAAAAAAATCATAAACTTTTATTAATATTTTGTTGAGACATAACTTGTATTTTATAAAATATTTATGTCATGTAAAATTTAAAATTCCAAATCCTCACCCTCGCAATCAACTAAGCACAACTATTTTACCCAAAACTAGCTTCATCATCATTATTACCTGCAACAGTCGTCTTTCCTTCCAATACCTGCTTTATAATTTGCTTTAGTTGCTTAAGCTTTCGCCTGAAGATTTGCTTTTCTTTTTGGGTCGAAACCCTAAATCCGTTACATTTGCACTTCATCTAGCGGCATTTCAATTATGCACAACGAACGGGATTTATATCGGGATGAGTTGTAGTAATCAGCGGGGCGTTGCCGTGATTGGGATTGAAAGAGGGTTTTGAAATCAGTGGAGCAATCGTCAGACAGGTAATGACCCAAACTCACTGAAATAAGTTTGAGGTTTTTGAAATACAAATGGTAGCTTTTTTATATATATTTTATTGCTGAAATTTAAAAAGTAAAATTAATTAACGATACTTGATGATTTCTTAATCTCGATGGTAAATTCTTCAACACTTTAAAGATTGGTTTTATTTTAATGATATAAAATGTGAAAGGGTTTCAAAATTAAAATAGAATTCTAACTATGTTTCTTAATTTATATATTTTGTAATTTTAATTTGAAAGTTTCAAATTCTGACGTAATTCCTTTAAATTTATATTTATTAAATCTGAATTTGAAAGTTTCAAATTCTGAGGTAATTTTTAAAATTTTATGTTTATTAAATTTCAACTTGAAAGTTTCAAATTCTGAGGTAATTTTTTAAATTTTATTTTATTAAATTTGAACTTGATAGTTTCAAATTCTTAGGTTTTTTTTTACCGTGAGGGAAAATATCGGCACGCACCCCCCCCCCCCGCCCCTTTCTTAAATGTGTCTTTTTCACGACGGTCGAGTTGAGTGATTTTCATGGGCATGTTAGTAGGGATGGATATAAGATCCGAATATGATTGGTTCTGCTCCGATTAGATCAAATATTTTTTTTTAAAAAAAATTAAGGTTTGGGTTAAGTCGGATCGAGTTTTTGTAGAGGTTATGTTTAGATTTGGATTTAGGGTGAAAAATTATTTGATCCGACTCGATTCGAAAAAAAAAATTTATCTTATATATTTAGGGATAATTGTAATATATCCCTCTATATTATTTTTTTAATTAAACCCTTACTTTTATTGAATAAAAGTAATATCTTTTAACAATTATATTATTTCAGATTAGATCGGTCGAGTTCAAATTTTATCTCAAAAAGACATATCAGATTTAGATCGGTGGAATGTGTATATTTTTTGGGTTGAATTTAGATCGAATGAATAATATATAATTTCGGGTCGGGTCAATTTGAGTCGAGCTCGAGTGTTGCTGAGCTTGACTTGACTCAAAAATTCTAAATGGAGTTTGACTCAGCTCGAAAACTCGCGAGCCTAAAATTTTCAAGCTCAACTCGAACTTGAAACAATGAATTGAAGCTCGTAAAAGCTCGAAATAGAAAAAAAAATCTTAAACTTAACTCGATGAAATCACAAACTCAAACCTAAACCTTAAATATGAAAACTTAATATTACATTTTCTTTTAAAAAAAATCAACACATTATTATTATTATTAATTTTTTTTAAAAAACAAAATCTAATATATTATATTTTCGAGTTACTTCCAAGTTTTTTTGAGTAAGATGTTTAAACTCGTTTCGATTCGTTAAAAACTAAGTCGAGTCCATTCAAATAGAATATTTATTAAACTATGGTCAAATCAATCTTAAATAACTCACAATCTATCTCATCTCATTTATATCGATACTCGAGTCATCCCTACTAGGGCTGTAAATGAGACGAAACAGATCGCGAGCTACCCGAGATTGGCTCGATCAAGGCTCGATAAATACTCGAATCGAATGGACTCGACTCGAGCTCGACTCGAGTACTTAATGAGCCTAAACGAGCTACTCGATATTCGACTCGAAAAGCTCGTGAGCAGCTCGAAAAATGTTATATTATAATTTTAGATTTTTTAAAATTATATTATTAAAATACACTATTGATAATTATAAAATTTTAAAAATATATTAAAATTCTATAATACAACTACTTCAAATTTTAATTAATGTCCTTATAATAAACCCTAAACTCTAAATCCTAAACTCTAAACCATAAATCATAAATCATAAATCCTAAACCATAACCATAAACCATAAAACCCTAAATTGAACTTATCTCTAAATCGATACCAAGTCGATTAATTAATGTCTTTGCAATAAATCATAAATCATAAACTATAAACCCTAAAACCTAAAAACCTAAATCTGATTATGTGATAGGGGTTAAGTTATGCACATGAAGGTAACATACAAATTATGCAAATAATGTTATGTGACTCCTAAATAAATCATCGTATACTTATACATAAACATATCAACATGCAAAATAATATACACAAAATTAAAGAAAACAATCCTAAACAGGGACTAAATTAAGAAATCTAAATGCGAGGACTAATTTAAGAAACATACTAACTTTAGAATGATGATTAAATTCACATAAATGTAAAATTAAACTTACAAATTGGAATTAAACCAATGACTTAAATACAAAATGTGTATAAACTATAGGGTCTTATATGCAATTGATCTTATTCGGTTAAGATAAAATAATATGAAAAATAACATAATGACACCTGAACATTTAAAACAAATAAGAAAATTTAAACAAATGTGATTGAAATACAAAAATTAAAATATACATACCAAACTATAAATTTATTAACATGCATATACATGTTTATACATACCAAACTAGAATTAATGGATCTAAAACATATGCCCTTAGATTAACATTACCTTCCGAACATCACTGGAACAGAACTGGATGTGACTTCTCATCCAGCCTGGTTTATAACTTGACACCACATTTTCTCAAATTCCTTTTGAGCAGTGCCATCTAGGGGCCAAAAATAATGAACCTGCATATGCAAAATCTAACTTCAACCACTACTATTAGAAGAAAAAAATTCAACACTAAATAGATTTTCAGGTTGCTTTAAAACGGGAAAAGAGATTGATTATAGACAATTAGGAATACGGAACGAAAACATTGTTCATCTCAACTAACGAAAGGAAAACATAATAAAATCACCTTATCTATAGACCTATTTGCTAGTTGTCGGCGATAATCAATCTCACTTCCAACCAAAATAATCTCACAGTTTTTTCCAACTTATCTACTAATTTTAGGAAGTCTCTCGTTGCATACCATCCTGTATAAGAAATTATGAAGAGGGGGAAAAGCCTCATTAATTGTTAACTACGGAATAATTGAAGTCATACAATCAATTGACTCGAAAGGAATTGATTTTTCTGAAAATACCTGATTTAAATCATTTGGCGCCCGATTACTAGTAGAAACTAGAACAGTTCCAGTACTGAGTAATATTCTTAAAATTCCAGATAAGGCAACGATAGCAAAACATCAACAGTCTGTAACAGAAAGCAAGACAGCTCAAGATATAACACGAGTTGCGCATTCTGAAAGTGATACGGGTGGTGGTGGTCACAGATGAGGTAGGCATTTGGGTTGGGAAACTTGCCACTGATGTTGCGGTTGGAGGTGTCTTGGCAGGTGAAACTTTCTCCGTGGTATTAGTAACCACTGGCTTCGCTGCTGGATAAGATGCCAAGAAAGAAGTTGTTGCTGTTTTGCAGGAGAAGTAGTTGGCACGGTCTTCTCCGTTTGGTGCCACCGATCTTGATGGTGGTATCCCTTGATCTTGATGATGATGTTGATGTTGCTGTGTTGGAGGCTTCAATGATCTTGTTTAGCAGTCTCCGATGAACAGGTGTTGAAGAGGGTGAAGAGCATGGGAAAGAGGGTGAACTTCTGGCTGTATCCCACACAAAACATGGCCTTATATCCCACATCATTAAGATAGAAGCAAGTGCTCCACAAGTGATCCTATAAATTAAAGTTCAAACTCAATGATTTAATTTACGGAGTCACGTGGTGAGCACTCGAGTTTGAATTGAGCTTGAATTGAATTTGAATTGAGCTTGAATCAAGCTCGAGTCTCAAGCTTGATCAAGCTCTTGAATTTTTTTTGAGTTCGAGCCTTTTCGATTTCGAGTCGAGTTTCAATATTATTTTTTGAGTTCAAGTTAAACTTAAATTTTAGTTTCGTGAGTTTTTGAGTTGAATCAAGTTTATATTTAAAGTTTTCGAGTTGAGCTCGGAATTACTCGAGCTCGACTCGGCTTATTTACACCCTTAATCCCTACATGTGAGCGGTCTCATTACATCATATTGCCTGATTTAAGCACATGGTTTGTTGCTATTTTGTGGCGGTATACAAAGTTTCAAATAATAATTTTCTTTTGGTTAATTTTTAAAAAATAAAAAAAATTATTACGTAAAAAATACAAAAAAATATTATCATATCATGCCAGATCACCACTTTCATTTTAAGCAATCCCAAAACATTACAAAGAGAGGAATAAGAGTGTTTATTGATATGAGATTTTGAATTACCCGTTTAGCTTAGTTGGTAGAGTGCAAGACTCTTAATTTTGTGGTCGTGGGATACCGTCTTACGGTGGGTAATTCATAATTCGGAGGTCTCCCACGGAAGATACTCTCAACCTAGTTTTGGGGGCAGCCTACTATCCTACCTTTCCCTTATCCCATTACATATGGGAATAAGGGTAAGCTATTATTGATATGAGATTTTGAATTGCCCGTCTAGCTCAGTTTACGGTGGGTAATTCATAATTCGGAGGTCTCCCACGGAAGATACTCTCAACCTGGTTTTGGGGGCAGCCTACTATCCTACATTTCCCTTATCCCATTACATATGGGAATAAGGGTAAGCTATTATTGATATGAGATTTTGAATTGCCCGTCTAGCTCAGTTGGTAGAGCGCAAGGCTCTTAATCTTGTGGTCGTGGGATCGAGTCCCACGGTAGGTAATTCATAATTCGGAGGTCTCCCACGGAAGATACTCTCAACCTGGTTTTGAGGGCAACCTATTATCCTACCTTTCCCTTATCCCATTACATATGGGAATAAGGGTCAACTATTATTGATATGAGATTTTGAATTCTATTTAGAAATTTGTTAGAATTAAGTTTCTTGGCACATGTATAGAAAGATTGCAGCTACTCAATTATTTTTTTGAAAAAAATAAAACAAAAAAAGAGATGCTCTCGTTTGCAGCACCACACAGGCTGCAAACACCAATAGTAGTAAAAATAATATTTTTCTTGCTGAAATGCAAATTATTTTAAATAATATTGTTTTAAAAATTTGTATTACTAAAATGACAAGTTCACATTTCTCTATAAACAATAGTATAGATTATAATTTTTTTCCCAATATTAGGATTCGTTTGGTTCTAGAAAATATTTTTTATTTTTATTTTCTATTTTTGTTTTTAGAAAATAATTTTCATTTTCAATTTAAAATTAAAATTAAAAAAAATGTTGGGTTAATATAAAATGAAAACTTGAAGTCAAAACTAAAATACTAAAAAATATATCTGATATCTTATTTTTTAAAATAGAAATAAAAAGAATAATTATTAAATAATTATATTAGATTATAATTATTAAAAAATCATTACATAAATTTAACATATGAGTTATACAAATATAAAACAATAAAGTTGATAAAAAATTCCATAACATAAAATTTATTGTAATTATAATAACAATATAATGTTAATGCATATTAGACATTAATTTAATTTTAAAAATACACAAAATATTGTTATAAGAAATAGCACAGAAAAGTGTCATAACATAAAAAAAATATGTTTAATAGTAACTGAGACCTTCAAACTTTTGAAAAAAATAACTAGTGTAGTCCCTAAACTTTTTTTGCACCAATTTTGATCGTTAAACTTAGAAAAAAATTAATCAAACTTTTTGAACAATAAAAATTAAACATTGACTGTTATGAGACTTACATGATAGTTCATAAACTTGATAATCTATAATATGGATGTGATAGTTCACGATACTGTTGTGACAGTACTCAATGGAGATGATGTGATAGATGAACTTAATTGATTATTTTAGAAAGTTTGAGGACTTATTAATTTCAAAAATAAAAATTTTATTAATTAAAAATATAAAATGTAAACAATTATTAAGATATTCAATAAATTAAATATAAAAAATTAAAATAAATTATTAAAATAAATTAATTTAAGGATTACATTGAGTGTAAAAAATGTTTAGGGACCATATTGATTGTTTTTCAAAGTTTGGGTTTCATATACCATTAAATAAAAAAATATTGTTAGAATGATTTAAAGATGTGTAAGTTAAGTTAAAAAATCTATAATGTTTCGATCACTTAATTTTTTTTAAAAATTATATCTAATGTTATGGTTCATTCTGTTTTGGTCATCTATTGTTACATGTCTCATTATGACTTAACGAAACTTGTGATGTGTCATTAGTATAATAACATTTTAATATACAAAACTTATACTTTATCAAATTGATCACTATTAAAAAAAACTTAATATTTAAAGGTCCGATATGATTTCATGTCTCACCACAATCTTCACGACACTGATCATCATTCCTTTAGGGGGTGTTTAGATCAAGGAATGTGGGATTCCCTTCATGTTTGGTTGGCCGAGAATCTCATTCCCGGTAATGTTTTATTACCAATAGTAGATTTTTTGGGGTATATTATCGGGAATGTCATTACCTCTTTCCATAGGTATTGTGGATTAACCGACGTTTTTGAACTAAAATGCCCTTAATGTTTTCTCAAAAATATTATATGAAGTTCAGGGTTAAAATAAAATTTTACACTTTCATTAAACCTTTTATTTTCAATTTTGTAAAAATATAAATTTTATGAATTTAATTTTTTAAAGAAATATATAGTATTTTCCAACTTATTAAAAATAAATATATAATAAGGACAATTTGATCAAATTTACATTCCAATAATCTTTTATTCATTTAAACCAAACACGGTAATCTTACATTCCTGCTAAACCAACCGAACACAAATAAAACATCTCCCAGTAATCTTATTCCTGGTAATCTTACATTCCCACTGGTAATCTTACATTCTCACTGATAATCTTACATTCCCACTGATAATCCTTACATTCCGTGAACCAAACGCACCTTATTGTCTTTGATTACCTAGACTCCTATTAAAACTTCGACAATTTCCTCGAACTCGCATCGTAGTTTTGCTCACTGGCACCATCGCACATCTCACTAATCTGTCATCATCATCGCTCTTTTACAAAACATACCAAACACCACTTTTCATCATTTTCATAAATTTTTTCTCCTCGTTGTTGCTATCACAATTGTTCAACTTACATGACCCCAACTTCTAGTCGTTCATCAAAAACCCAGTTCAAAATTGACCTAATAACTTACGAGAGTGGTGGTTATAATACCTAAACTGCATTTCAAAGGGACGATAAAGGGTGCATGGCCGACATGGAGAGGTAACAACATCGATTGAGCACATCGATAGTGACGATGATCTTAGGGGAGGGATTTTATGTTAGACCAAATTAAAGGTTTTCTAAATATTGGAGATCCTTTTTAAAATTATTGAGTTATGATCAATTGATCAACTGTGTAAATTTGAGACAAACTATTATCATACCATGCCACATCACTCTTATTAAGTCAAGTGATCAAACTGATAATAACCGACCAAAAGAAAAATAAACTTAACATTAGGTGTCGTAACGTCTTTCTGGTGGATCCCAAATTTAGGCTTCGACTTGGATTAAACGAATTGGAATCGCCACCGATAATTTATTTTAAAACAAATGGGTTGATCGGATACCCTATTTCTTACCTGATATGCGTCTTTCCAAAGATGTGTCGAATTCGAGAGTCGATTACAGTCAAGGAAGGGTTAGCACCCTTGAACTGCCCTTTCGGTACTATGCAATTTTCAGTTGTCTTAAATTAAGAAAATTGTAATTTAAAATTAAAGGTAAAATACAATCCCAATTACTTACCTTAGATAGTTTTAAAGGTGTGTCCTTAGGAAGGTCAAGAAATCATGTTAGATAAAAGATAGAAATAAATTAATTAATTAAAATGAAGAAAAAAAACAAATTAAATAAAATATGATAAAATAAAGAAAACAAAGATAAAATAGTAAGTAAAATAAATAAATAAAATATAAAATAAATAAGAAAAAGAAGAAAAAAATATATAAATAATAATAAAAAGTAAAATAATATATATAATAAATAAAACAAACATAAAAATAGTAAATATATATAATTAATAAAACATATAATAAAAAATAACATATATATATATGTAATCTAAAAAATAAAAATATATACTAAAGTAAAAAAGAAAATGCATAAAATGTAAAAAAATTACATGAAAAAAAAAATAACAAAGCAATTAAACAAATGAGTAATAAGGGAAATGTGGTATAAATAAATGTAAATAAATAAAATAATAATTAAAACGTAAATGTAAGGGACCGAATCAAAAGGAAAAACAAATCAATGGGTAAATTTCGAAGAAAAAAATTGATTTAGGTGGGAGAATTGAATATTTAAAATAGGAACACGCCTCGGGGGTAGATCTAGGTTCGAAACTTCGAAACCCCACCCCTTTTTGGTCATCGACACAAACCACGTTTTGGGTTATTCAAACCAAATCTCAAGAAAAATAACATGCACATGCGAGAAATGAACGTATCAAGGTAAAAAAGATGCTACCGTTTATTTCTTTTTCGAATCATTTACAATAGCTTTGCTTTTGTATTTTTTCGTGCTTTCCTCTGTATTTTGTATGTAAATCGTCTGTTACAATAGTGAGTTACAATGGCTATTTATAATTCTTATGGATCCTATTTTTAGGAGTTTGAATCATAGTAGAACTCTATCCTATTTTTAGGAGTTTGAATCCTAGTAAAACTCTATCCTATTTTTAGGAGTTTGAATCCTAGTAAAACTCTAACGCTATGTTTGTTTTATGAATCCTACTAAATCAGGGTTATTGAAAGTATTGTACCCAGACGAAAAGGGGTGTTGACAGCTGCTCCTTTTTGCCCATAGTCACTTAACGGGGATAGGTCAAAGATTAAAAGACATTTTTCGTTCAGTGGAGTTGAAAATTGACTCTGATGTTTCAATAACTCCCTGTCGAATTGAGTTCCAGATGACTCCTCCGTCATGAAGTCGAGTTCATGATATGAAATTGAAGTCGTAGTTCAAAATTTGAATCAGCACGTGGATTCTCGTTACCCTTCGGTCTTCTTCT